CATTACATATTTCTTTTGCAGTTTTCAGTTCTAATACAGAAAGACGGGTAATAAGCCTCCTAAAATTATCCAAATTCAATCATTTGTAATTTTAGCATTTTACTTTTTTTTTTTACCTTGAATGTTGTTTTGTTTATTTATTCATTTAGTATTAGAGTTTATATTAAGATAATTTGAATATACAAATCGCAGGACCACCACAGCCATATAAAGTTGCAGTGGAATTGGATGTATCAGAACTATATTTTGATATTGTTTGACGTTTTATATGAAATGTCATGCCATCAAAAATGAATTGCTTTTAAGAAGTGTATATAATAGTACTTTCCGACTTTGTTTGTAATTAAGCACAAAGCTACACAATGGGCTATCTGTGCTCTGCCCACCACGGGTATCGAAACCCGGATTCCAGCGTTGTAAGTCCACAGGCATACCGCTGTGCCACTGGGGGACCCTTTCCGACTTAAAATATTCATACGCTCAGATCATAAAGGTGTATTTAGATGCGGGATTTTTGATTTACAAAACAGAGATGTCCCTTGCATATGAATAAGGAACAACTTGGGACACCATGACTATCCAGATAGAGTTTTACAACAAATCGCACTCAGCCGTGGTTAATGAAATTAAGCGTTTTGTAACAAGTGAGAATCTACGAACACAAATACCAGTAGCAAAAGCCAACCATGTATTCCAGACAACAGAACGTAGCATAATAAAGATGGATATCCATCTGGAAAAGTGACAAGTTAGTTCCACGACATATTCGTTCAACCGTCGCATACCTCAAGTCGCCACACCTATGGATTTCTACACAATCAGCCTGTAGAAATGGTCGTTGTGAAACCGTAGTTTTCGTACGCTATATGGATTATGGAAAGTTATCAGGGAGGAGGGGTGTGCCTTTTACATGAAATCCTTACGATGGAACTTTTTGCCATAGAAACTACGTTAAGATGCAGGTCGTAAGTTAGAGCATGGCCGGTTGTGACGACACGGACTATGACAACGAGGAGAAGCTCCGAAATAATTTTAATATAACATACTCAACTTCTGTACAACTCCTACTTCTAGTATTTGTAGTTATTCTTACAGTTCAGAGTAACGACCAGTAATCTATATATATAGCTGTGTTAAAATGCTGCGAGGAAGTTTAAAAGCTTTTAGTTTCAGACCTGACTGAAGAAATAGAAACAAGTATAGTTTCTTCTTTCTTTAATGACATGTTGGTTAAATATTATTATTTTGAATACCCTCTCTTGATAAAAACGAATATCATACGGCAAGTCAATAGCTAAGCCTACATCCATAAAAACATTATAATTTATTAATTCAGCAATTTTGTTATATATTATCGTACTAATATATACATATATATATGCAAAATCGATAAGTTATAAGTACCCATTGTAATGTATTTTCATAATTATATTGTACATCATTTTCATAATGAAGTGCCCTATGCTTTCCTCTAAACATCGTTTAGACCTTGTTTTTACGATTTTTCAACGTTTCATTGTCTTCTGCTAGTTCTATGAAAAATACAATACATAACGTTGATAAACAATGGGGCAATAAAACCGACGGGAAAGGGCATTCTGATACAAATATATAAACTGTATAAAACGTTTTCGATTTTAAAAGCCTATACATTTAAGAAGAAAAAAGTAATTTTACATCAGCACTTGACTGACCAAATGTTGGTAGTTTAGTGTGCTAATTTCGAAACCTGTGCATGTGCATAAAATTTACAATGGAACGCAATCTTGTATATATTGCGAACCGTGGTGTCTGTCCGAGTGTTCATCTGTCTCCCGTTGGAAAAGCTGCGCACGCAGGCAAAGCCCAACATTCACTTTTGAAATGACGGGAGAACAGGCATGAATAATGTTGATGCCAAATTTGATTTCACAAGCAGGATATTCTACAGTAAATTATTAGGAATTAATCACACTATCATTCACATTTCAAAATGTGACGTAATTTAAAGAATATAAATGTAGGTTTACTGTATGTTATTGTTGAGTGGCTCTTAGCATGACTGAATAGCTCAATAATTACTTTTC